GCTTACACATACTGATTATTTCGCAAAATATGTTTACCATATATGAAAATATAAATAACTATTCGATCGATATACGTTGTGTACATAACACTACCTTGTTATAGGCTGTTTACAATTTAATATTATTTCTAGCTAACTCCTAACGCTTTACTAACGTTGTTTGCAGCTAACCAAGCTATGCTCAGTCAGTCTGAAGATTCCTCAAGTTCTATAAGGCAAGAAACAGATTCTATTTCTACGGAATTCAATTGTTTGGAAGGCGAAGACGACCCGTTTATAAACAGTCTATGGGGAATACACAAAACTTTAGATGCTCTGCGTGGTAAGGTTGATATGAAATGATAAATGTTAAAAAAAAATAATAACAATAAAGATTAATTCCACCATTTCCATGTTAAAACATTTCGATATTTTGTTCTGGTCTATTTAAGCTTGAATACGGTTATTACATTCTATAAATATCAAGATTATATATAAACAGTGTATACATACTGGTTGTTACAACAAATGCAGGTGAAATCTGATTCCGCAACAGTCAAACTCACTTTCAATCATCAACTGTCGATAAACTCAACAAAAACCTTGTCTCAGTAGATTATAATAAAATTAATTGTTGTTTGGGAATTTCTACGCAAGTGTTTCACTTTTATTTGTTCAAATATTTAAATGCTGCAATAAATAAGTGGATAGCAGGAAACTTACACGAATTGCAACAGCTTGAAACCTTGGCCGACAAGGATATCATGTAATTTAATAATATGCCCACAACGTAAAACGATTTAAGCCATGTATACACAATTACTTATTCCAATAAATTAATAAAGTTATTACGAGCATCAGCAGTTTTATGATATACAGCCATAGCTTGTCAAGGTTAATGTTATGTTTATGCAGTTAGTGCACTGCCTTATCGGGAAAAACTTCTGCAACTAAATCTGTTTCAAGTATTTTATGTATGAATCTTAACCTTTGTTTGTTGACGTCTTCTATTAAGGCCGGTTATACTTTTTATCTTCAAGGGTATACATATTCTTTCTGAATCCTAGGAAACATGAACAAACAACAACTGGACAGCGGAGATACCGTGGAAGAGTCGTCTGATGTCGAAGAGACAGTCCTCCCACCTACCTACATTGTCCTGCAGGTTTCTTCAGATATCCCAGAGAAAACTTTACTTTGGCTCATAGACAAGATTAGAGGCAAGAAACGTGATGGTGGTGGCGAACTCATCGTTATGAAGCAGCTTTGCAACCCAGAGGATGTAAGTATTGTAATACCTAATTATAGATTTTTTCTTATCCTCTGGATGGGCTGTTCTTTGTAGAAAATCCAAATGTCTGTCTGTTAGTCGACATTTCTTCGTATTTAAGAACTCCTGTTTCGGGTTGCAACCTCAGCAAATTGAATTATTTACCAATTTCATGTTCTAGCTAGTGGTACTTTTGCAATCGACAGTCTACTGTAGTTTCTCTGAGCCTGATCTTGTTCATCCTCAACATTTCATCTCTCAAATCCCTGATAAACAGTTTTTTTATACCATCAATGCCTATGTTCTGGCATCCAACACTGGCTGACCTTACCAGTTCAATTTGAACTGCCACTCTTTCCATCAATATGAAGTGACTGTTTAACAAGACTTCCAAGGGAGTCGACGTCATGACTCTTGTGATTCATTGCGATGGCCTATTTGACCTAGAACCACTGCACCACTGTAGTTTACTAACCGTTATAACAAATCTAGGGCTACGTTCTCCACCTGTCAGCTTCCAAGATCAAGTTCCTGGAAGTAGCCGAGGACATGGAGCTGATAAAGCAAGACCGCAACGGTCAGATGCGGGAGTTCACCGTGGCGCAACTGGAAGACTTCCTGCCGGAAGATATGCACGTGGAAGACCTCCTCACCATGGCGGAGAGGCAGAACATCGTGAGGCATGAATTGGAGAATATCAGGGCTCTTGCAGAGGACGACCATATACCCGGCTATCCCACCTACACCCTCTACGAAGGTCAGTCTATCTTCCAGGTGCTGCAGATGTACGAAATCGTCACCAAGATGTTCCCCTTGCACGACGACGAAACCTTGAAAAAGTTGGGGAGGAGCTGGTACATGTCGGTGTTCAAAAAGCAGCCGTTTGGTAAGGCTATATGTTTTTTATCAATGATATTTCTTATACCTAGATTATAAACTGTAAATATGTGGATTGGACACTCCACGTTTTTCCGCTGCAATCAATCATAGATTCATTGTGAACCTCCATAATATAAGAGTTCCTCATGTAATTTATAATTAGGCACTACAGCTTTGACAGTGACTCCTTCATACAGCTTCAAGCTTTCGGTTTTTGTCTTCCGGATAGTAGATAGGTCTTCACGTTTGCACAATACTTAAGCTATGGTGTCCTCCTTACAGAACCTACACAAGCTGTGTTCTTCCAGGCCAAATTTATTTACAATTAAATGTTTCCTGAATTCGGATACTTCTAGGCCTATCTGCTCTGGTTAACTCAGTATTCCTTACAATAATCTATGTCAGAAAGTTTCAGCATTTTGTAAGATGCATAAGTATTTCATCTAAACCATTTAAAACATTTTCTCTAGAGAGACTGGCACCTAATCGGTNGCTGCTAGTGTCCACCGAAACAGTGCCATTCTTCTGCGCTTTCAACATGGTATCGGTTATTCTTTTCCTTGAGGTAAGTACTATTTCTTCTATAAATCTCTTGCAAATTAAGGTCTTGAAACTTGTTACTTGCTGAAAATGTAGCCCTCGGCAAGCAAAAAACTACCTTTTTTAAATTAAAAAATTTAAAAATTTTTAATTGTATGTCAAACCGAAGCATTCGAGCGTGGCGCGAGCTAACTGTAGCGGGGTAACGCAACTCGGCCGCTCCGAACACTGAATTCGAGAGTTCAAAAGCGCTCTTATTTTCAAAATCTTCATTTTAGGACACTTGAAATGAATAAAATCATTATCACTCTTTTTTACCAAGAAAGTAAGACTCTTAAGTCGATTTTAGAGATGACTATTTTTTTGAAAAATCAATATAACTCGAAAAATTTTTAATATTTTTTTTATTTAAAAAAAGGCAATTTTTTTGCTTGCCGAGGGCTACATTTACAGTAAGTAACAAGTCTCAAAACCTTAATTTGCAAGAGATACAGCAAAAACAAAAAAAGTCGATTTTTAACGGTTTTCTCGATATACATATCTCGAAAAGTAATATAGTAATCAGAAATCGTAAAAATACGAATCTACAGATTTTTTTAATAGTTACACCTTTCTCATTTAACTTTTTTCGATTGGAGTTCAAGTTTTTTTATTAACAAAAAACCGTTTTTTTACTTTTATGAATTTTTTACGTTAACTTCGCCGTTTATGCGCCACAGGAAAAAAAACATTCTTAGACATTTTTTTCCTATATCACCAAATAACATGTTTAATCGGAAAATTATAACTGTTAATTGATTAGAGAAAATTAAATTTACAAAACCCCTAGAGGGATCCGTGCGAGTGAAACAATTTAATTGTCTCTATTGGGAATGAGCTTATCTCAATCAAATTGTTTGCGCATCACGTTTATTCGCAGCGGTACAAAATAATATGATACAATTTCCAATAACAAATAATCTGCTAATTGTCCGGTACAATAAATGGTATTCAATTATACAAAAACTCAATAGAAATAGATTTCTCCTCAAACTATTTTACTGTTTACAATAGGGGAAATAATAAATAGTCCAGTCAATGGGTAGAAGACCTTACAAAAAATGTCACCTGGAAAAAGAAATGTGATATAGGAAAATTTTTTTAAGAAAGACAGTGGTCCTGTGGCGCATAAACGGCGAAGTTAACCTAAAAAATTCATAAAAGTGAAAAAAACGGTTTTCGCTATAAAAAAAAACATACTCCAATCGAAAAAAAAAAGTTAAATGAGAAAGTTGTAGCTATTAAACAACCTATCGATTTGTATTTTTAAATATATCAATTGCTATATTATTTTTCAAGATATATCGAAAAAACCGTCAAAAATCGATTTTTTTGTTTTTGTTATATCTCTTGCAAATTAAGGTCTTGAAACTTGTTACTTGCTGAAAATGTAGCCCTCGGCAAGCAAAAAACTGCCTTTTTTAAATTAAAAAATTTAAAAAATTTTAACAAAGGTCATCTCAAAAATCGGCTCTTCTTGCTTGACAAATAGTCGTAGAGAAACGAATCAGGACTAATTTTTTCCTTAAGAGTTGTACTTTCATGATAAAAAAGAGTGATAACAATTTTATTCATTTCAAGTGTCTAAAAATCACTTTGAAGAAAGCAAATATTTTTTGGTCGCGTTTTTCCTGAATATATCTTACAGAGATTGAAGTTGAAGACCTATATTTTCAATAAAAAAATACTGTGGTTAATTTTAGCCACTTCTGCATTTTTAATTGTACGTCAAACCGAAGCATTCGAGCGTGGCGCGAGCTAACTGGAGCGGGGTAACTAGTCCAAGCATTCTGTCACGGATTAATGTTAAATTTGCAGAAATTATTACCTGGACAAAAAAAATATGACCGTATAGAAAATTAAATTT